TACCTCATACATAATAAGACAACTACAATACTGGTGGAGGACACCCTGGCCATTAGGGTGCCAACTGACTAGCACCTAGAGGTCCTTTCCAGTACCATTTCCTCCTTAGATCTGCTTTACATTTGTTCCTGACTGTTATTCTTATCTGCTAAATCATGTTTGATTGGTCCTCAAAAAGGTAAATTTATATTGTGCACTTTCTGGACTACTGGACCAGGGGGTCAAAGCTCCAGTCACTGTGGTAGAAAGGTTTAAGGGGTTTTACTCCAGCTTGTTCACTGTCCAAAACTCAAAGGGGGCATTTGCCCTATCTTGGACCTCAAATTCAGTCTCAACATCAGATCGGTCATTGATTCTCTTCACCACAGGGGCTTTCCAGCTTCTATGGATATAAATGATATCCTAATTACATGTGTCCAACTTTCCAGCTATTTAACAGTCTCTGCGTTTTGCTTTTGGGCTCTTGCACTACCAGTTTAGGACCCTACCATTCAGTCTGTTCTTTGCATTTTGGGTGTTGACCATGGTGCTGGCCCCTGTGTTGACCTTGTTGTGCTCTTGGAATATCCCGATGGCGAGCTACTTGGGCAGCCTCATGTTAAGGGAACAGTTAGCAAAAGCTCTAAAGCTCAACATATGAGTGACTGTCAAGACATTGCAGAACTTTGAATGGATCCTGAACGTACAAAAATTGTCAGCTCAGGCTGATAACTTGAATTATCTGGGGCTGCTCCTAGACACTTCCCAGAATCTTTTCCCCAGAAGAAACTTCAAACTTTTTGGTCTTACGTTTGAATTCTACTTTTGCATGTGGGCCTTGGGGCTGATAATGGCCTCATTCTAGGCAGTGCTATTGGGCCATGTTCACTCTAAACAACTGCAACACGTCCTACTGTCATCATGGGATGTCGGTTCCGTTTGCAGACAAATCAACTCACTTCACACCAAGGTACAAGCTGTAGTTCTAGTAACTCCAGAATCCAGCATTGAAGTCAGGGAAGTTGTTTCTGATGATGGATGCAAGCCTGGCAGGTTGGGGAGAGCCCTGGGCACCCTGATGGTACAGGGGGCTTGGTTGTCATAGGAATTTCATTTCCCAATCAACATGGAACTTCAGGTTATCTGGATATCCAATCATCATTGGACCAACTTGTTAAAGGGCCATCCAATCCAGAGTCGATCAGACAATGGCATAGCAGTGGCATATGTCATTCATCAGTGAGGAACAATAAGTCCTGCTGCGACAACAGAGGTGGAATGGATCCTGTCCACAGCAAAACAGACTTCTTCAGTCAGCAGAATCTGTACTCATGATGTGGACCTCCCAAGGCTCAACATCAAACTGGTCCTGTTTTTTATCTAGGTCCAGGGATCTCTTGGCAAAAGTAAGGAATGCTCTGTGATCAGTACACACTAATCTTTGCTTTTCCTCCCCTAAAACTTCTACCTTGCTTGCTCTGCAGAATTGAGATGAAAGGCATTCTGGTGGTTCTCATCACTATGGATTAGCTCATGGTGGATGTGGTACACTGACCTGGTAAGCCTGCTCACCTACTCATTGTGGAGCATTACCATACCATTCAGATCTGCTTTCTAAGGGACTGATTTACCACCCTGCTTCTTGGTTGCTGACTTTAATGGCATGGCTCTAGTGGGATGGATCCTTTCCTTTCTGCATTTGGGTCTGGACCAATGTTTGGCTCTTGGCATCATTAAGGGCTAAGCCTCTTCTCTGTCCCTTCTGACCCAGACTGTTGGATTAAAAAAAAATAGCAAATAAAAAAGCATAATAATAATAAAGCATAAACAATTGCTACATAAGCCATATTGTAAATGTTAATAAAAATTCCCTTTCCTTTTCAATCTGCAGCTGCTGTAATTTTCTGTAAAATTCAATGCAAGGTGGCAACCTGGAGGCCTTCTTTACACAGCTTGTTGGGTTACTCCAATAACACCCCAGGTATTAAATATGCCACAGACTTTTATTTCTCTTCTGCTAGATCAGATCACTCCCATGAGCTTGGGATACAAGAAGACACAAGACACAGGCAAGTATTGTATTATCAAAATTTTATTGGGCGCCTTACATGAAACTCACTTTATCCCTTCACAGTTGGTGTACAGAACTTCCCCAGAAATGTCATGCCCTGCTTGTGTGATCGGCTCACTGATTTTCCTAAGGTTCTGCATTAAAAATACAAGTAAAATTTTAGGCACCCTATGCAATAGGAATTCTATTTTTTGGTGCAATACTCCCCATGGATTAATTACTTACAGTATAAAGGGATGCAGGTACTGCAACTTTCCTCATTAAAACACTGCATGTCAGCTGATTAGAATGAACAAAGACACTGCTATTCGGGAATCAGTGTTCCAAGAACATAAACGAGCATACAGTTTGTGTGTTTGCTAAAATCCTTGCAGTGTATGTAGATTACCCAGAGGAGATTTTTTTTTTCCCAACAAAAGTGAGTTACTCTTTAAATCTCATTCTTGCAGCATTTCGGAAGTCCCTATTTGAACTAAAACATTCCTCTTCCTACTCTTATCCACAATATAGTATTTCTTGTCACAATCGCTTTGGGAGGGTGAGTGCTTGAGCTGGCAGATTTATCCCACAGAGAACCCATTTTGGATTTGCATAAAGACAAGGTGTTATTGAGACTCAGTAACAGAAGTAACAGTAGTGAATTCCTTATCCATATGATTCCATAATCCCAGGAGTGCATCTCCATAGCCTTTTAATGTAAGTCACATTTTTACAAGGGTCTGGAGTTTCAAAGGGCCTGCTATCTCAACTCAGGAATAGCTAGCATTTATTATGCTATACCATTACTTAGCAAATAACTAATAAATAGGGATTTGCTAAAAGCTATAAATACCTCACTGATGCTTTAACAGGAGGTCTGGACAGAAGATTGCAGTATGTCAGGACTCGCTTATCATCTCCATGTTTGCCAACAATAAACATCTAGAAGATTATCACTTTCTTCCAAGGAATTTGGGATTGACCCACCATAAAACTGTAAAAAATCTTTCGGTTCTTCCACACATGGTCTGCAGGGTAATTAAACCCATTAGAATTACATGGTGTACAATAAAATGTTTTACCCAGGGCTAATTGATATCGTAAAAATCATTCAGGCCTGATCTCTGCTGACAGGTATCCTATTTGACTGGCAAAAGACCTCTTCTCCAATTCACAGTTTCAAAATCTGCACATAATTCATAAAATCAGACATGACCAAGCTACATGACTATTAATAATATATTTGAATGTAGAAGAAATTACTGAAAAAATCAAGATCAGACATGACTAGGCTATTGTACACAAAAGGCGAGATAGCTTTCCCCCGCCTCCTAGGTGACAGACCTATCTGAGGGGTATCATGTTTAGTACCTCTGGAATGGAAATTCCATGCTGGACAATAAGTATATGCAAGTTAACAGAATGCAACCTGTATGTGTTTGAAGATATTAATATCCAAATAAATCTGTATTTTAGGGAGTGGCGCTACATGGTCATAAACAGGGTGACATCCCATTAGCCACTCCTCAAACCTTCTCATTGGTCAGATCAGTTCTGTCCACACACTCCTCAAGGACCAGAAAAGAGGGGGTGCATCAGAAGACTGGGTCTCTCCTTTTACCATCAAACATCAGCAAAGAATTATGAGAGCCACTGATCCATTTTACTCATTGATTGCATTTTGCAGAAATTGTCTTTTATAATGGTTATTGCTGATATTGTAAACATTTGATATTTTATGAAAAATAAAAATATCTGGTAGCAGAGTAAAGAGTTAACTGTGTAGTTAACAAAACCCAGCGACAATCTCTCAGTCAGCTGGCACTTAGATTGTGGTCCCACAAGCTGGAGAATCTTTGCGCAGGGTGAGACTGGGAGTGCCATTGTTGAATATCGGTGGGAGCGAGGTGTGAGTTTGACAAGCCATTTGTCAAAAGTTAGTGAAGGTGTCCAGGGTTTGAAGCCAGAGCTGCCACATCCAGCCTAAATAGTTTTATACACTGCCAGATTCCAGCAGAGAAGTATCAATATTATATGATCTATGCCACCATGTCCATTAAGGAGGGTTTACAGGGGATATACAAGGTTGATGGAATCAGGGGCGGACTGACCATTTGGAAACTCGGGCACTGCCCGAGGGAGGGGGTCAGTAGGAGGCCCCATGAGATGTCCCTGGTACCTTTTTCATAGGATTTTTTGAGTTTGGGCAAGGACACAGGGGCCCCATGATCCCCTATTGCCCGGGGGCCCCATGAGTTGTCAGTCCTCCCCTGGATGGAATGTTCAGTGTATTATATAACTGATGAAGAGCTAACTTTGCCTAAATGTAAAATGATTGCTGCAATCTACTCCCAGAAGTTTCTGAACTCATATTATGGAATGATGCACAGGTCAGAACTTCAAAGTATTTGAAGTACTGCATACTAATAGAACATGGTACCTGACTACATTGTTTGCATAACAATGCCAAGTTTGATATGTAACATAGAAAGGTTTGTACCACAGCAACCTTTAAAGGAGAAGTATAGCCAAAGCTTGTTTGGCTGTACTTCTCCTGTAGATAAAAGGAGTACAGTTCGTTCTGCATTCCTGTGACCCATTTCCAGCTGACAGCGGGCTGTCATAGAGCCAGTTCAGGCTGGGGATACATTACGACCATATGGTCAGGATCCACCCAGGAGCCTGGACCAGCACCTGGCTCATTCTCTCAGCAAGCCGCTAGGAGCCTGAGACAGCCTCTCCCACCCCCCTTCACAGCTCAGCACTCCAGTGAGCGATGGAGGGGGAGATCAACAGGGAGTAATAAGCGGTGTCTGCTTGCTCAGTTTTCGCCCTTAGAGCCAGCAGGGGACGGATGCAGCATTGTATCAATGCTGCATCCACCTAGGTAAGTATGATTTTAAAATAAAAAATATTCCCGTACTTCTCTTTTAAAAGTTCTTTATGCTTTAATATTTCTAACTTTTTTTTACAGGATTACAGGCTGAATATTTTCCTGCGTCAGCAATGGAATGATCCCCGTCTGGCTTACAGTGAATATCCTGATGACTCCCTGGATTTGGATCCCTCTATGTTGGACTCCATCTGGAAGCCTGATCTGTTTTTTTTTGCCAATGAGAAAGGGGCAAATTTTCATGAAATCACCACTGACAACAAGCTGCTAAGGATCTTCAAAAATGGCAATGTTCTGTACAGCATTCGGTTAGTCAACTGTTGCCTCAAGGGTGTAGTTATAATGCCAAACTCTGGGGGACATGCCAATAGTTTTCTCTTTCGGAAATATGTTTCTTTCCATCTGAAAAAAAAAAGGATTTATTTATAGCTTGTTTGTAACTCTATTTATTATGACAGCTGGAGCTACAGACCCAGTGATCAGCCCCCAAACAGCATGTTCTGGGGGATTGCAAATTAAGAGCACATGCATACAATCTGGCCTCTGAAGCTGACTTTCAAAGCATAAAGAAGAACTATAGGCATTGTTTTTTTTTCATTTTGGATAGAGTAAGGAAGGGTTATAACCCCTGTCAGATTACTTTTCTATATGTGTACCATTGTGGAGATTTACCTTCATTTCCTGGCCCATAGACTACCCTGTAATACTTTTCTAGGGACAACCCAAAATTTGGTATTTTTTTCCTTCTACATTTGATGATAACAGTAAACAGGACTAATACTGAGAGTGAATCTCCTAAACAGGGCCACAGACAGCAATAAAAAAATGACAGGTGTTCTAAACCGTCTCCACTCTATCTAAAACTAAACAAGGTTGTGCCTTTTGTTATACTTTAATATTTCAATCCCCATCACAAGCATTCTTTATTCCCATACAAGCCTGCTCCAGCCCCCACAGAAAACTGTAGAAAAGATGAATCTTCTGTACTTCTCTAGGTTCATTAGCCTCAATGCAACAGCTGCCTCTATCACTTTCAATACCCCAGTTAACAAGCAATGACAAATCATATGCTAGTTGGGATCATGCTGACTTTGGACCCTTGCTGGGTTTAGATATAGTTTCTGTTGCACTAGGCTCCCCACAATTTTATTGGAAATTGTGGGAAGAATCATTAAGAGCTTGAAAATATTATCTGTATATTCTGTATACAGATACAACACATAAATTACTTACTTACAGTATGATTGCAAAACCCCATAAAGCCTGCCATAGGCTCCAAATAATTTGTTTTGTTATAAAAATGTAAATGCTTTTGTGTTAGACTTGTTTAAATGGGCCTCTTGAAAGTTATGAGCCACCACAGGATCCTGTAATAGGTTTAATGGCCAGTTAAAATGTTAACGATCATGGCCTTTTTGACTTTTAGATTATATGGTCCTTTGTGCAAAATATAGTTCTACCCCCTGCACAGAATTTTTTTCGGTCTCCTTGGAACTAATGCCATTGAGACTGACCTTAAGTAAACCAGATTTGTGTCTGGAACACATTCTGGCCTCCAAAGTCCTTTTTTGTGTTTATACATTATTCATACTATACATTGTTCATAAACAACCTTTGTGTGAAAACCCAGAACAAGGTCCAGATTCCTGCACATGTTGTATCATATTTATTTGTTATATTGAAGGCAGCACAGAGTCCACTTTCTCTATACACATCTTCTACTCCAGCAACAAAACATTTAAATTCTTAAATTTTTCTTGTTGTGTTAGTAGTAACCAAGGTCTGAAGGATACTGGGCTTCATTCACAAAAGCAGATTGCATGCAGTATTTAGATGTTTTCCCAAATACAGCATGCGATCCTGAAAATGTCAATTCCCTATTGCTTTATGCGATATCTACTGCATAAAGCAAAAACGCTCATTAAATACCAAATAAAACAGGAATTAAAAAATCAATTCACAAAAGGAAATAAATAAATCAATAAATGCGGTAAATAAGTAGTGGTCCCAGCATGCGATGGTTAAGGAACCAACAGCCGCCGGCATCCTTAACAACCAGTAAATGACATGGTTGTTAAGAAGAGGGCAGCTGCCGTGTGCTCAACAACCAATGAGTCATCAGCTAGGGTGCTGTCAGCTGTATGTAAAGAAAATAACTGCTGTCATTTAAAAATTGCTGAAAAAAAAATGGAGTGGAGTCCCCCTCCATCTACCATGGGAAAAAATGTGTGGTGGGTAACTACACAGAGAAAAACTGCTTATAGTCACAGGCCCACTATGTATAATGGGAAATATGTTCCAGGATACTAGTTTTTAGGGGACGCCTGTTCTCTTCTATTATCCATTTTCTGTCTCTTTGCTTTTCCCAAGTACATGAGATACTGTAGCATGGGAGTGAAGAGGAGGAGCAATTATCCTCTTTAAAATAAAAAAGGTTTTGCAGAAAGCATGTCTACTATTTTTAAAATAATTTACCATATGAAAGAGCAGGTCATATTCCAATTGTGTTCCCCACACTGTTTGTACCCACACAGGTGGCAAATAGGCCATGGAGAAAATATTGTATTATCAACACATGTAGAAATATATGTTTATCCAACAGTCAACCTTTAAAACACAAGAAGGGGGCTAAAAAGTTCATGTTTTTCTTACAGGTTGACTCTGACTTTGGCATGTCCCATGGATCTGAAAAATTTTCCAATGGATGTTCAAACTTGCATCATGCAGCTAGAAAGCTGTAAGTTCAAGAAGGCTTATGTCTGTGGAGATTGTTTGATCATGTTACTGTCAAACTAAATTTATTACAAATTGGGGCAATTCAATCTTAGCATATTAAAAAAAATCATACACAAAGGTTACCGCCAGAGAAAACTGCATGTGAAGTGATTAAAGATATAGGGTCAGTTCACTGAGCTACGTAACAGTCCAGGATAAGGATTCCTACCTTTTTTGTTTAGTGACTTATTTTCAGTTGACTTCAAAAAGATTTGATTACACTCACTTGGGTGAAAGTTGAGTGCTTGAGGCTTGTTAAGGCTTGGTTCACACTATGCAGGCTGGTTCTGGTTCGCATCTGTTCCTGCACCCACAAAACACCCGCAGCCGAATCATGCTCCCCTTACAAGACATTCTTGGTGGTGCCATTCTGAATGGCACCCCCATGCATTTCAGCCCGCAGTGTGATTGTGAGTGCAGGAACCACAGGGAAGCTGCATGGTCAAAGACCATGCGGTCTCCCTGTGGCCGTGCTTTTAAAAAGGTGCATGCAACTTTTTTGTGCGGAAACACAGGCACAGCAGCCAATTCAAATGAATAAGCTGCCATGCTCAAGCAAATGTGAGCTGAACGGCCTGCAATAGTGTGAACCAAGCCTCAAGTGGTATTAAGCCCAAAAACAAAAATATAATATATTGCAATCTTTAAAATGGTGGGTACATTGGTTTTCCTGTTTAGCCCCTCTATTTTCACATGGTGATCCAGACAGTAACACACTTCCCATAAAGAGCAGCTTTGTCAGTCATGAGAGAGGGTAGTATTAGATGTACCAGCAGATTTAGAAGGACTTGTTTAATACAGCTTTAATGCTTTGTAAACAGTCTATAGACAGTTGAAGCAAATGTCAGCTTTTCCTTCACATGCAGAACTTGGTTCTTCCCCTTTCTAAACATTCCTATTGGTTTTTTTTTTATGAGACGTCAACCTTATCGACCAGCAGAGAGGCCCAAGGGGTCAAGGCTAAGCGCTGATTAAAGTTATTTCTTATATACTGTATATGTTTAACGTCTGCATCTCTTTATCGTTTTGACATGTAGTATTCACTTAAAGTGTACGTAAACTTTCAAAAGATTTAGATTAGCACATAGGTATTGGGAGGGGAAGGGGAGGGTGTAGAGAAACCCTAAAAAATCCCTTTTTAAAAAGGTAACCTCATCTAATGTAATGTTTTCATCTTATGTTTATATGTCCAAGACTAAAAATGTACATTACAAGAAGAGCAATTGATAACATTCAGAAATCTGTTTTCAAAATTCAGAAGCCACAACAAAAAATCTCCATTGATAGTATGGATGGATGGTAGTATATTGCTGGAACAACCACATTTGGGAAAAGGTGGAATCAGACTGGTAGTTGGTAATTTCTTTACTATGGAAGTACCAAGCAAAAATTCTATTGTGTATGCGAGAACATTATTGGTCTGAATATTACTGAGAACATAATGCTTTCTCATTTCATTCTAAGATTCTCCTATAGGATGCTATCTAAGAGAACAGCCCGACCAGATTGTTTTTTTTTATCATAATCTTATATTTTTAAAGTATTAACATATTATGCAGTTATATGTGTCAGTTGATAAAGTACAAATTGAAAACAATCTAAACAAAATGTACAAATACATGACAAGAGTAAAGAAGGCTTTGCCAGAATGCTCCTACAATGTAAAAGGTAGGTAAACATCAGACCCAATTTATGAGATAGATCATCCATTTGTGCTGTTGTCTCCTAACACGGGTAGGGAGGCATCTATCTGTCTTTGATGAAGGTCGGGCCTGCTGCTTTAATACTATGGCTTGGCCAATAGTAGCACCATGCTAAGTCCTTCTTTCTTCATAGTGAAAGTGAGATAGAAGGATCAGCTCCATAACAGATTTTCAAACAAATTATAAATCTGTGTGTTTGTGATAATGAGTGGTCATGTCCATCATCGTGGACAATCAGTGTATCCTGAAGCAGCCCATCATTACCCAATACAGTGTCAGGTTACTATTTCTAGGGTGGGGTTGAACCTTTTTTGTCCACCCTAAAAACCTAAAAAAAACAACCAGTTAGCCATTTTAAGCTAAATGAGAATTGTACATGTGCATTGTCTTTCAATTAAAGATAGGAAGAAGCCATAGGTAACTGTAGCGCTACCCCCGTAGGAGCTGCTGTAGATTTTAATAGGTTCTTTCTCTAAGCAATTTGGGGCAGCCAGGCACACGGCAGTAGTTCATCCATTCAGGCTCAATAAACATGCGGTATGATATACTCCAAAATGCTTGGACACAAATAGCAGAGGACCCTCCCCTATCTTTACATAGCACCAATACAGTCATTCACTCCCAGCTGAGGACCAGGAGAATTGCTAAGCAAATTTAGTAGATAAAGGCTGAAGCAGACTAGATTCTTGCAGCTGGAGACCACAAGACACTGCATCACAGGGGTGGGTTTGTTTCTTCTCACAGATTCCGGCAGTGATCAGTCCAGAGGTAGAACCTCCAGCAGAGTAGTCCAGTTTTTGGTCAAAGAATTGGGTCCAAGAACCAGCAGTCCCCCTTCCTTTTGAGCATGTAGATCCACCCCCACAAGGGGAATAAGACAAATCTCTCAAGCCTCTATTTAACAGGAACCCGGCCACCATTTGGGCACACCTCCCCAGGGATTGGCTAGGCCCTACTAAATATTCAGGCCAGGGATTTGAATTCTCCCATCCCAAACTCTAGAAGCTTCTTCTAGAGGTAGGAGAAAGTAATCAAACTGCCAGCCTGTAAAACCCTAAGCAGACTATGCTAAACAATTACCACTTCTGTGATTACAGCAGAAACCCAAACACTAGATTTACCCAACAGCCTAGCTAGGAGGGCGCTACATAACAAAACACCTTTTGCCATGTTTTGCATTTTTGACACCGATGACAATGTTGGTGATGTTGTTTATGTTTTGTGCAGTTGGTTATACAATGAATGATCTGATCTTCGAGTGGGAAGAGGTGGGCGCTGTGCAGGTGGCAGAAGGTCTTACCCTGCCACAGTTTATCTTGAAGGAGGAGAAGGATCTACGGTATTGCACCAAACACTACAGCACTGGTCAGTATTCACTATCAATAAAATGTAATCTTCTATGCTGAAACAGCTTAATAGAATTTTGCTTTTTAAAGGGAAGCTATAAATATTTGATAAATATTTTTTAATTTCATACATTTCTAAACTGTTTTTTATTTATTTTATATATAAAATACATGTTTAAAAATGTAAACCTACAATACAGGGTGTTCTAATGGAAAAAAAACAGCAGAAGAGCTTTCCTTTCAAACTATCTGTCTTTCATTAAAGCTTGGTATTGAGCAGTCTCAATGAGACAGGCAAGGAGGGAGTCACTTATGTGTGCAAGATTCAGCTTGAGCTGTGGAGCACTGTAAAAAATGGATATTTTCATCCCAATATTTTAAAAAAGACAACAATATTTCATATTTCTCCAACTACTACAAAAAAAAAACACAGCTTTTTTCACAAAGTATATTTTTTGTCATGTCCATAATAAATAAATACTGTATATGCCAAGCCACTTTCTGATCCATTTAAATGACCTTGCTGTTTCTTCTGCAATTTGTGCATTTGTGTATTTGTGCATAACAGCTGTTGCACGCACTTTATTTTTACCTCTTTCTTGTCACAGCTCTCTAGCAATCCATAAAAAGCAGCTTACATCAATAGAAAAAAAGCTAACTCCATCCAACTGAGAAAGAAAGGTTGGGTTTTACATAGAGTTTTCTCAGCTGCTAGGATTACTAGAGAGATGTGACAGGAGAGAGGGACCAGAAAAGAGCTCACCACAACTTCTATGCACAGATATTATTAGATGTGACAGCAGAAGGCAAAGCAATTGTCACTTTAAGGCATCTTAATTTCACTGTTCTCCAAATGCCTTTTCACATGCCTATTTCATGTCGGATGTGAACATTTTTAGTAGCTCCAATCTTATTAACAGTTTAGGGACTTAGTTATAAAAGGCTGCAATCAATATTTTGTTTTTGATTCCTTCTATTTTCTTGAAAGCTGCTATAAGCAGTTTCTCAGCTCATTTCGTAATATCTTTAAATCAAATTTATTATTTAAAAATATGTTTTACATCCATTTGTTTATAATGACCTCTGATTTTTTTACAACAAAAAGTTGACAAAAATACAGGATATGCTATCTTGAATATGGTGTGATTCATTATTTTTAAGAAGAGAAGGATACAAGTATAATAAAATGTCATGTTTTGTTCTTGCTATGCTGTGGTGCGTCGGCACCAAAATGAATGAATGGGAAAGGCCTTAAAACAACGCACGTTGATATAGAAGTTAATGTATCACGTTACTAAACCCACAACAGTAAAATCAGTCTTTAGATCAAAACACACACAGCGCCCAGGACCAATCTATTAACAAACAATTATAAGTGAAATGCTGCTGTGCATAGGTATATAAACCAAAACAAATTTTCCAATATAAACCAGCGCAAAACACAAATGTTAAAATAATAAGTGAATATAAAATTATTATTTTATAAATGATCTTTAAAGTCCAGTGATAAAGGTAAGTGACCACAAACCCGTGACATAAAAATTTTTTTTCCATAAATCAAAAGTCCAGTGATCCCTAAAAAAAACTTTCTCAAAAATAAACTTCAGTGCTTCAAATAATTCTTCCACCATCCACCAGTGCCGAAACCAACATAAACCGCACTCACCAGATAATGGTGAGTAAAACACCTTTCAGGATTATTAAGGGCTCCTGGACCCCCTTTGAGGACTCCTCTATTTTCCACCTCAGATCTATGGGTATTTTCTCCACTCGTCTCCTCTCCACATCACCAAGTTCCAAAAAGGGGAAAAAAATACTAATAGTGTAATATTGTTATACCCCTTTTATAATTAATTCAAGCCAAACCACTCACATTTCATAGGATAAAAACCAGCATTTATTTAAGGACATTTTCGAACAGCAAAACAAATTTCCACAGCTCCTAGGAACTCACAACCTTGTATGCAGCAGGATGACAGCCTCCATAGAAAACAAACTTCCTCCACTAATCAAAATGGCTGCTTGGAACGCATCCCTCGGCGTGCGTTCCACTCACTGGAAATGACGTCGGACGTTCGAGAGACCAACCAGAAGTACGTCAACACGTTTCGCCCCACCCACAGGGCGTTCTCAAGACCTGGTCTCCCGAACATCTGACGTCATTTCCGGTGAGCGGAACGCACGCCGAGGGTTGCGCTCTAAGCGGTCATTTTGATTAGTGGAGGAAGTTTGTTTTCTATGGAGGCTGTCATCCTGCTGCACACAAGGCTGTGAGTTCCTAGGAGCTGTGGAAATTCGTTTTGCTGTTCGAAAATTCGATTGATGTCTTTAAATAAATGCACTTCCATGTTCTGTGCATCATGGGAGACCAGATATAGTGAATGCAGGGTCCTGGGTTTAGTAACACTTTAACACATGAAGGTGGCCTGATATGAAAAAAATTATAAATCCAGCAGGGAGAGTGGGGATTCCACAGGCATCTCTTTAGAGTCCAGTAAAATGAGAAACTGTTAGGTAATTGAACTCTCCAGCATCCAAATACTGAAATATCAGTTATGGGTGTTCTGACTCCTTAAATGGCAAATAACTTGTATTACTTACCAGCATTTAAATGGCCTGCACTCCTCTCACCACAGGATGTAGCAGAAGCAGCAGCTCCAAACACGGTTACCAAAACTCACATAGAAATCCCTGCAAACCAATCTGGAAACTAGACGGAAGGCTGAAGATCCAAAACCCAGGGTATCTTTATGATCCTGATTAATAAAATGTGCCTTGTTCTTGTTGCCTGGATGTATTAAACAAGAATACAAGTCACACATGACTACAGGTTTCAAGTACTTTCTATGAGTCAAGATTGTGAAAACATTGGGTGGGCTTCACACCTTTGCGTTGTGGTAATGCACGTGTTACTGCAATGCACAGTACCATAGCATGCATGTGTGTTGAATTGCCATTCGTTCTAAATTGCTCCCCAAAACACCAATGCTATGGGTCCTTGTTGCATTTCACCACAACGCACTGTAATGCTCTAAAGCACTGCATCGGGAAAAAGAGCCAGGTCCATTTTTCAGTGCAATGGAGTTTATTGGAAGCATTGTCTGAAAGCATGGCACATTAACACGCAGCGTAATGCACAAAAATATGTGTGCGGTACAAAGGTGTGAACGGGCCCTTAGGCATGACAATCTTAAATCCCATTAAGTATCTCAGAAGATCACTGTCACACCAAACAATATAGTGGTTATAAGAAAAATGGGTGGGGCTTGTGTACGGCATATATATTCAACACTATACGTGCTTTGTTATAGAACATCAAACAAATATCATGTGTTTTACTATTCTATTCTATTCTACAATTTGCAGCCAAAGTGTTAACCAGGCTTAATCTATTTTAGGTAAATTCACTTGCATTGAAGCCCGCTTCCACTTGGAGAGACAGATGGGTTACTATCTCATTCAGATGTACATTCCCAGCCTGCTAATTGTCATTCTCTCCTGGGTGTCTTTCTGGATCAACATGGATGCTGCACCTGCCAGAGTTGGCCTTGGCATCACCACTGTGCTGACCATGACCACTCAGAGCTCTGGATCTCGAGCATCTCTTCCTAAGGTTTGTATAGTTATATGTTACCCATGCATTCACACCTGGGCAGAGATAATTCATTCTGAAAAGTTTTTTGTTATTATTTAAATTTTATTTGATTTTCGGATATAAAAGACAAACATCAATTCCATCATAAAAAAAAACATTTCACATATAATCAATTAACCCCAAACATTTCCCCTTTCCTTAACCTTATTATCCCTTATTACATCTTCATTGTCTACTTCCATTAGCCTTATAATTGTTTTTTTTATATGTACTGTGACATGAAGGATGATTAGCTCTGGTGGTAGATGATTTCAAAGTGAGTCCATGCGAGTCAGAAACTTTTTTAGGGCTTGGTAGCCCAATTTTATTAAAATGCAAGAAATAAAAGTCCAAAATAAGCTTTCCCACACAGGGGTTCTTTTCCAGTTGTAAATACCAATGAAAAATTACCAAGCCTCCTGGCTACTCCTTAATAACACTTCTGATCAGCAGTACCTCTGGTGGTTTGGGTCTTCCAGGCCACTGGCTAGTCCCGGCAAACAGTGTTGGACTTCTTGAACGGACACAGTCTTGAACCCTTTAACGCACACAACCTTGAGCCCTTTAATGCACATAGCCTTAGAGCCCTTTAACACACACAGCCTTGGACTTCTGTAACACACACAGCCTTGAGCCCTTTAACGCACATAGCCATGGAGCCCTTTAACGCACATAGCCATGGAGCCCTTTAACGCACATAGCCATGGAGCCCTTTAACGCACACAGCCTTGGAGCTCTTTAACGCACACAGCCTTGGAGCCCTTTAACACACACAGCCATGGAGCCCTTTAACGCACAAAGCCTTGGAGCCCTTTAACGCACACAGCCTTGGAGCCCTTTAACGCACACAGCCTTGGAGCCCTTTAACGCACACAGCCTTGGACTTCTTTAACGCACACAGCCTTGAGTCCTTTAACACACACAGCATCTGTCTCACATAGAGACAATCAATGGCAGCCACTGCTCCAACTGCACTCCAATTCCCCCTGCAACTCTCAGCAAACCACCACTATAAAGGTCAGTGAGCACCGGGGCCCACATCCTGCTGGTTGACTTCAAACTCTGGACACTGGATTAGACATGTCTTCTCTCCCAAGGTGCTTTGGAATCTCCAAACTACGGAGCCCCATCCAGAAATATCAAAATCCGGAAAACCTAAAACAGCAGTTTTCTCTACTCAAAATCTACACTCAGCACATGTGCAGACCCTGTGTCCATTACCAGACCACTTCTACCTGTTTTTATCCTGTGACAGGGCCCTGCACTGTTATTATACATATATATACATTTTTGTTACTATTCATATGCAAAAATTGCATTTGCTTGTTTTGTAGCACTGCAATGATTTGTGCCAGAAACAGATTTTAGTCCCTTTACAAAAAGGGAAAAATTCACAGAACGAAAATTTCACTTTGCTTGAGTTATAACATACCTTCATTCCCAGATGAAAGAATAGAATTTGGTTATTATTATGCTAATGGTCCCACCGCTGCATTTATGTGTTTCTTCTGTGAATTCAGCTATTTGTCTGGCTCCTACTCTAACTTTAAATATTAGATATTTAATTATGCAGACTTCTACAGTTTTGATATGCTCATGTTACTGTACTTTAAACCGATGCCAGTGTATTGCCTGAAATAGCTGGATGATGGAAAAAACAGGAGCTCATAGCAGCAGATACTGGTGCCCAGGTTCTAATGGGCCTTCCTTCTTTTGCTCATAAGGGATTCTATTGTTCTGGAGCTCCTGTTTTCTGCAAGTAATGTAATTCAAGGACCACCAGATCATTACAGCTCAATGAAAAATATATTCAAGCAGAAAATCCCAGCCCTATAATTAGCAATTACAGCCCCATAACCATGGGGAGAAGTGTTAATATTGTATCTATTGGGCAGTTCCTGCTGTGATGCCAAAAAATAGACTTTTATGGGTGACTTGAGCTTCTAGGCCGTATTAATTTTACATGCCGTCTAAAAGCCCCCATAGGAATTAATTATATCCATCTCTAGAGGACAGGAAGAGAAACAAGATAAAACATCTGTTTTAGATTTTCAGTACAAATTAAAATATTTTGTACACGTATATAGGGCAGATGCACGCTGTTAATGAATGGAGAGGTTAAATCAAAATCTGATTTAACATGCATGCACATTTCTGCAAATTTATATTGACATTTTTTATTGTCTTCCTAATTTAGGACTTGTACATGTTTTTGGCTTTAAAAAAAAAAAAAGCTGCATATTTATGAAGTTTGAAAATTACTTTTGAAATTGTATTAACATGTTAAAGTTTATATGAAATTTTATTTGTTGAGTTTACATATACTTTAAATCATAAGTTCACTTTTAGAAAAAAAAAATAAATGCACATTTTTTTTTCAGGTAAGAAAAATATATGCATTTACAATTTTTTTTTGTAGGAGCCTGGAAAGCATTGCACCCACGATCAGCAGAATGTGGTGCATTGCGAGTGCGAGGCTTCTGCAAACTGTCAGTGTAAGCTGTCTGCTCATACCTCGTACGGGCAGGCAGTTACACATTGACAGGAGGAGTCAATTAATTACCTAGAGAGATCAACAGTGTCCTGATTGTTCATTGAAAACTACAAGCCAACAGTCACAAAGGCTGTTAGTACTTGTAGTTCATTTATTCATAGAACTCTGTGAATGAATAACACGACCTCTTTTTAAATAGTGACAGCAGTTGCAGGGAGAAGATCCCCGACCAGCTGTCAGAGGGATCGGGGGGATCGGGGAGTGTACGCAGGAGTGGGAACATGTTACATGTTTCACCCTAAAAACAGGTGGAACATGTAACATGTTCCCAAAGGTAAACTTATCCTTTAAGAGCCATAATTCATGCTAAACCCATACACTTTGGGCTTCAATTAAAGGAGAAGCACAGCCAAATAGTGACAGCAGGTGCAGGGAGAAGATCCCCCACCAGCTATCAGAGGGAGCAGGGAGATCAGGGAGCGGCTGCAGGAGTGGGAACATGTAATATGTTCCCAAAGGTAAACTTAATACACATGGTGTGTATTGCTAGAGAGTTTTTTCTTTTTCTAGGGAAAGTGCATGTGAACAGCACTGGGCCAATCAGCACTGTCAAGACAGAGGGTCAGGAGTTATGCAGCTTCATTGGAGTCAGAGCAGAATGAAAACTTCTCCTACAAGCATTAACCAGTGCTCGGTTGAACACTGATAGAAGTCACAAGACTGGTATGTACTGCTGATGAGAAAAGGTATTTTCTCATCAGCAGTACATATTACTGGTAGCAGTAAGTGTGTTACTGGCCAGATCACCAAGTGAAAACAAAAGGGAAAAGGCCTAAAAAAAAAAAACAAATGCAGCCACCACATCTAATGATTGGTAAGCTGCAATACATTACATTTTTGGTTTTGGGTTTAATACCACTTTAAGTGCAACTTAGAAAAATGAGATCCCCTTCCCTTCTAAATAGGGCTGTGCTATGTAGTAGAGCTGTGTATATCTCAGGACAAGGGTAAAACTGATCCCACTTATGTATTTAGTTGTTTTCCTGGAGTTTAGCTTTAACATGTATGTACAGATAAAACCTAGTTGTGGATAAAGTAGGGTATGGTTAAAACCCCGATCAGGTTTTTTTTTTTTGCTGTTTGTGTACTGTATGAGAACTTTCCCTTCACTTCCTGTCCCTGAGACAGTTGTTCCTGGAACAAGAACAATTTCCTCCTACCACTAGTTCTGGGCAATTTCCTCCTACCATTTGTTCTGGGACAACATTTTGGATTGCTTATTTTCTTTCTCAATGATAATTTTTCCCAGGACAAATAGAAGGGTGAATATCCCCAAAGGGGACAAAGAGTCAAAACTTAGCAGAGGGTCTAACCCTTCCCAACACTAAAAAAAGTCTTGCATAAAAATGCACTTTAAATACTAAGGGAAAGATATAACCTATAGCACTACAGCAAACAGGAATCAGACAGTAGATCTAAAGAGGGGTACATCCGCCTAACACAGAATACAAAGCAGGCTTGCATTCATCTTCAGTATTTGCAATTTTGAATTTACGTCTTCTTTTTAACCAAGCAATATGGTTCTGAATTTCATTTCCTCATATCACAAGGCCTCACTTCAACGGCATATCTCAGTTCAAGGTCATTCTAACCATTTCCTATGTGTCATGTCATTCTTATTTCAGTTGTCATCTATGTTCTCATTCTCATCTTGTGGCCACTGTTGGTTTAGAACATCAATGAGGAAATGAAGGTACAAGAAGATCTTTTTTTATAACAATGTTCTCAGAAAAGAGAAATGATAATGGCATTGGTTCACATTTATTGTATACTTTTGTAAGTTGCTGTTTTTAAGCTGATGATTTTAGATCTGTTTATTTTTCTGCATGTAGTACATGTTTGATTTACAAATTGATATTAATGCACATTACAGCCATCAAAAAAGATTCCAAGCACTGGGGTTGCATGTATTTGAATGCAAAACACAGTGGGGGAAGATTTACTAAAATTAGAGAGTGCAAAATTTGGTTCTGCATAGAAACCAATCAGCTTCCAGGTTTTATTGTCAATGCATAATTGAACAAGCTAAACTTAGAAGCTGATTGACTACCATACACAGCTGCACCAGATTCTGTGTGCAGCAGGTTTAGTAAATCTCCCTGTGTTTGACTAGCACGGATATGAATCCTAAAGTAGAAGAAAGCCCTACCTGAATGACATTTACTGTAGTTTGCTAAAGAACTGATAAACAATTATCTTATTGTAGTAAAATACTTGTTTTCATCTTTTGTTAAATCTCAGCTCTGCTGGTGTCTTGCAGCCTCTTTACAGTCCCTTCCTTCCTATATGCGCTCCACTGATGGCTATGTGGCTTTTCATGGAGTGGACTACCTGATGGTAATTACAGGGGATCATGTCTGTTTAAGGTAGCCTTTCTCAACCTTTTCGGCATGAAGGAACCCTTGAAATAACTTTCCGGTCTCAGGGAACCCCTGGTAAAACCTATTATATCTACAACTCATGACACATTACTGAGATGGTCAATGGGATGAATGCTCCTTACACGTTTGGTCATTGAGAAGAATTTCCCTCTTACAGATAGCTAAAAAGACCCATGGTGTCAGTGGAAACTTATTAGAGAGGTAGAAATTGCTCATTCCCCAAGGAACCCCTAGCAAGCTCTGGAGGAACCCTGGTTTAAGGTGTTTTGACATGACCACTTGTGGTCTCCATCTGAAGTCTGTGCAACAGAGTGACAGCACAATTGCGCAATATAGAGACAGGGACAGGGAGTTGTCACCCTTTAGCAGGAAGTGTCTGAACAAGGACCTTCATGGCAGGCTCACCAAGTATTTGTTTATGAAAGCTGCAGATTAATGAAGATTGAAAACTTCTTATGAAATTTCATTAACATGTTAAAGCTTATATGAGATGTTAATGATTGGGTTTTCATATACTTCAAAAGCCATCATCCACCCTCAACTTATACACTTTGTGCTTTAACCCCCCCTGGCGGTATTCCCGAGTGTAGCTCGGGGTACAGTTTCATTACCAAAAGCGGTAACCCCGAGCTACACTCAGGATTACCCTGCAGCATTGCTCTGGGATCCCTGTTTCACTTACCTTGTCCTGAGCTCCCTAAATGTCCCCCCTGCAGTGTCCCCAGCCATCTCCTCTGGCCGATGCCAGCATCCATCTTCTGGGTTCCGGTCCCTGCGAGCATCGGGACATATGGGACGTACGAGGGACGGGACCGGCGGGAAATTCAAAAATGTAAAAATTTGACATTCACTATATACCCTAACAATTGAGTACTGTCCGTGGTACTTTTTTTATTTGCACTAACATACAATTTTGAGGACAAGCTTTCGGGGTATGTCCCCTTCTTCAAGGTCTAAGCAGTACTATTACAAATCACAAAGTTTAAGCAGAATGTTAGAAGGGATTGAGAAAAAAAAAAAAAGGGCTATAGAAAATCCCTTCTAACATTCTGCTTAAACTTTGTGATTTGTAATAGTACTGCTTAGACCTTGAAGAAGGGGGCATTCCCCGAAAGCTTGTCCTCAAAATTGTATGTTAGTGCAAATAAAAAAAGTATCACATCAGTACTCAATTGTTTCTGTCGCAAATGCACTAATACGGCTACAATCACCTCAAGCACTATATACCCTAAAATCACATAGTAAAACATTACTGTATCAAACCATTTCACATACATTTTGTCCCGAGTGCTTTGTCCTGTGCCCTGCCTGCATTTTTACTGTTCTTTCTGCCTGGAAACTGAGAAAGCGTCCAAAAAGCGTCCCTTTAGGTCAAAAGCGGTTTTAGACCAGCTAGAGAACAGCGATAGTAAATCAGAACTACTTGCAGAGTTGAGTAATAATGATTTGTGGGGAAATTCCTCATCAGACACTGAAAACGATTTTGCGACTGAACTCAGCGATGTGCGAACTTGGCGCTCTATTTCAAATTTCAGTGTTTTTGGTTTGATTATATTATTGAATTACATTTATTATTATTCTATTATTAATTTTTATGATTATTTATTAAATTATAATTTATGCTTTTGTGTTTCAAGTTTTATAATACCCGGGATGTTTACTAGACTCTTGTTCGGTCAGATTTCAGTGAGTTATTCCTAAGAATTACAGGCCTACAATAAAAAAAAAACAACATATTTCCATGCAAAAAAAGTATTGCTTTGAGCACAGAAATACGGACATAATCAGACCGCTAGGGAGGTTAATTTTAAAGAATCGGTCAGGATAAAAATATAAGAATTCCCATTGCTGGCTTGTTTTTGAAGATACAAAACTGAGTGCTGTCATCCCTTATTACTTCTTTCAACACATGGTGAATTACTGACCAACAAAAGGATGTGTATATTTGGTGTCCAAACATTTGGGCAATTTGAAGCATCCACCTTCAAATTTGTAGAAGTCAAAGTAAAAGTTGAACGTTTTCCTAAAAAGAGCAGAACACAAGTAATTTCCTTCTAGACTCCCCTACCCTGAATGAAGGTAGCTTACTAAAGCAAGAAAGAAAGAGGAGTCACTGCTCTGACTTCTATGGTTGTGTTTGTATGTGGGGAGGCGCAGAGTGGCGCAGGTAGTAAATACACAGAGACTGGTTGCAGTAAAACTTGGAACTTGTATTAAACAGAATGCCAACATTACAAACACCCTGGCAGGAGAATGCCATTAGAGAAATAACTCACAGTTCAATGTAGTCAGATGTACAGGAGACGAGATGCCGACAGCATCTATTTCAGAAGATGAAGTGCAGCCTGGCTGGTCCATTCCCAAGAAGGAAGTTGCTTTCCAGGATTGTGAGTCCCCAATCCTTCCCTCCTTATCAGGAACCTTTCACTACTACTAGTTACTTTCCTAACAAGCAGGGGTCTCACTCCCTACACTAGCGAAGTGCGCAAAAACCCGGGAGCAGGGACTTAAATAGACCCTGCTGACCCAAGATAGGGGTCACATGGCTGCAGCATTGCCGGCCGGAACACTACTTCATTGACCAAGGAAACCATAGAGAAATGTTGTTTCCCTTAGACTTCCTCTCCAGGCTGTGGTACCACAAGGACTGAGCGCCACCTACAGTGGAGGAAACAGACTGCACTTGCGTACATGTAAAAAGCAGCTTGAGCTATTGTAACGTTTTGTTTTCTTCAACAGAGGTGCTAAGGAGACTCTGGAAAACTAAAGACGCCAAGAGCTCCAGCTGCTGGATGCATGTGAAAATGCTAAATATTCATATGCAATATTTTATAAAAATATTTTTTAAAGCATTTACACATACAAGTTTAATGACAATATATAAGGGTAGATTTACTAAAACAGGTGCACTCAGAATCTGGTGCAGCTGATCATGGTAGCCAATCAGCTTCTAACTTCAACTTGTTCAATTAAGCTTTGGCAATAAAACGTGGAAGCTGATTGGTTACTATAACTGAACAAACAACTGGACTAGGCACTCAATAGCACTATATGGACACACACATATGCTGCTGTAACAGGAAGCCCCCTTCGGAATAGGGGCAAAACAAATATATCCAAAAAATAAAGATACTGCACTGGTGGTTAGTAAAAAGCCAATGATGATTATATACAGTATGGAACTTGTGCCCAAGAAAAAGTTCAGTCCATCCCTTAGAATGTAATTATATTCTTTTAATAAACTCAATAAAATGTAACATCTCATAAGTCAGTAACCACCATAGTATACCATAGACTCACTGTAAAGAAATTAAAGTGTTACTAAACCCACAAGAGTAAAATCAGTCTGTATATGCAGTAAAGCATGCTTGTTATGCTCACTAGAATCTAAGAGGTTAATCCTCCGCATTGTGTAAAAAGGATGTTTGATCCCATCTTCTTTGATCCTCCCCTTCTTCTACTGTCCCCAATCCATCTTCTGATGAAACAGTGCCTTGGGGGCAAGCTGCACATGCTCAGTTTGATGTGTTTTGCTAGAGAGGTTTTTTTTTTCTTGGGAGAATGCATGTGGTCAGCACAGGGCCAATCAGCGCTGTCCAGGCAGAGGGTCGGGGTCCTGCAACTCATAGGACAATCAGGGGAGAATGAAAACTCATCCTACAAGCTTTAACCAGTGCTCTGCTGAAAACTGATAGAAGTCACAAGACTGTTCTAACTGCTGATGAAAAAAGGTATTTAGCAGTTTATATTTACTAAAACAATTGCATTCCCATGTTCTGTGTACTGTTAGAGACCAGATATAGTGAATGCAGGGCCCTGGGTTTAGTAACACTTTAAGCCAAGCCAGTGGGATAACACCGTATCATCCTAGATGGGAGCTTCAGTATCCTGCAGCACCACTCTGCCCGGATGCCGGTCCAAAATCCAACCAGAAAGATGGCCTTTGTTCGAATCAGCGACACTTCGGACCAGAACTGACGTTTGTAAAGATACCCCATAGATATAGGCAGTTACTGTAGAGGATAAAACAAGAAGGCGCTTCTAAGTGCAGTATATCCAGAAGAATCTTTAATAATGATGATTAGAAACACTTACAAACTCGTGGTTAAAACACGCTTAATAAAATCATCATAGTGCAGAGGCTCAATCCACCATGCGAGATGTGGGATAGGAATGGTGACGCTCTTCGGAACATGCGCAGAGCTCCTTCTTCAAGACCAAATCGTCTCACTCTGACAATTTTATTGAGCCTGTTTTAACCACAAGTTTGTAAGTGTTTCTAACCGTCATTATTAATGATTCTTCTGGATATACTGCACTTAGAAGCACATTCTTGTTCTTTCCTCTTCCATATACAGAGTTTGCTTCAACTCCTAGAAGTGCTGCCTGTTGTTCAGTGTCTCCTCCATCCTCAGCCAACCTCTCAGTCCACAGCCTCCTCCATTGATGCGACCTATACATATCCTCTATAATCAGTTTACTGTAACTGTAAAACAAAGTGTGAAGAAGAATCTCAGCTGCTATTATTAGTGATGATGTTAAAAAAACAGTTTCCATTCTTGTATGACGGTGTTTTTTTTTTCTCCAGGTATCTTATGTGAAAGCTATTGATATCTGGATGGCAGTGTGCTTGCTCTTTGTCTTTTCTGCTCTGTTGGAGTATGCCGCTGTCAACTTTGTCTCACGACAGCACAAGGAGCTGCTACGTTTTAGGAGGAAGCGACGACACCACAAGGTAACCTCCCCTAAGACCTGCTATGAGCCATGGGTCCAGTTGAAGGATGAGTTCTATCAAAGTGGTATTTTAGTTTGGGTGGGAAATGCCTAGTTCACCCCATGACTTCTTAATTTGCATGTGGACACCAGTGCTGAGATCTCCATGCATAAGCACCAGATTCTTTGGAGCACTGGTGTTATGCTCCTTCTAATGGACAGTATGCAGTGTGAAATATATTATTTTGGACTTCATCTGCAAGAACTTGAAACTTGTAGTGGGAAGATCATTGAAAGACAGAAAAGGCTAGTGGGCCACAGTGAATCTTAAGTCAGAACATTTTTTTCTTCATGTTTGGATAGAGTGGAGAAGGGTCCCTGTTCCGTTTTCAGTTTTGTCTGGGTCCCCGTTACTGAGATTCACCATTCTATTTGTCCAGGTGACCACCGTCACTTGGACTGAATGGGAGTGGAAAATTACAAATTGTAGGTAAACACCAGGCTAGAAATAAAATAAATCTTCCTGTGGAGAAACTGGTCTAAAAGGGGTTTTTTTCTCACATTGCAGAGATTTCATCTCAGTCCTTGTCTATAGGTCAGGAATGAAAGAGAAATTTCCCGAATGGAATACAGACAGGAAAAAAAAGAGAGACAGGGGTTTAACCCTTCCCAACTCTATCCAAAATAAAAAAGTTTTGAACGTAGATTCACTATAAATGAACCATATGGCATCTAGGCTAGCCTGAAATATAAGTTTTAGGTGTAGACTTTTAAATTGTATTTAGCTCTTCACTTTGAAATTATGGTTCTGGAGAAATCTTGAAAGAAATCCAATTTCAGCATTTAAAAAAACTTTTTCATTTAGGCAACCCTTGATCATTCGGTAGACGGTTAATTGGTAGAGCACATTTATACACCTGACACCCTTTCACTAGTCTTATCTTAGGGAAACAGGAATGATATTCCTTTTCAAACAAGGCCAAAGAGTTCATATAGATTGCGTATAAGTGATTCCCATTCCAACCATCGTTGGGAAATTAAAGTTTAACTTAAGGCCAAACCCCCTTTTTTAGTTTTAGATAGAGTAAAGAAGGGTTAACACCCCTTATAATTATATTTTTTACTGCCTCTGTTTCCCTTCACTTCCTGTCCTGGAGATGCAATAGGAAATGAAAGGAAATCTCTTCAAAGAGAATAAAATTCCAATTTTAGAGAGTTTTCACAGAAACATTGGAGGATGTTTCCTCTCCTCCTTTTAGTGTGCCCCATAAAATCACTTAATTTAACTATTTGTGTACCATGCCATATAACCCTTTTGCTGCCAGAGCTGTTTTTGTATTTTTTTTCACACGTGTAAAGAATAATTTTAGGCCTGAAGATTACACAAAACCCCCAAACATTATATATTTTCTAAAAACTGATACCCTAGAGAATAAAATAATGGTAGTTCCAATTTTGTATGTCACACAATATTATTGTTAAAATCACACTAAAGTACATTTTAGAGCAAACAAACGCAATAATTTACCCATATGTTTGGGAAAATATATATGACAAGGTTGTGCCAAGTAAATAGATACCCAACATGCCAAACCATAAATTTGTGTGCACCTATGAAATTGTGTCAAACTTCAGTACCTTATATTTTCTATAGATGACGCTTCAAAAGCCCCTATAGGTCATCAGTTTAGTGTTACAGAAGGTCTGGTGCTAGAATTATTGCTCTCACTCCAGCATGTGCGTGTATATGTGAGGAGGGGGGGCGCTAAAAAAAATTTTCAGGAGCTTGTTATGTGCTTGGGTGTAACTATATTTTTTTTTACTTAACGTTTTCTTTTCATCACATAGGGGATACAAAGTCCCCTATGTGATGATTTTTTTTGTGACAGGTTCTGTTTATTGAGACATTCAAGGTCTAAAAGACCCTGCATGTCTCCTCTGTGATCCATTAGATGTATTGCAATGCAAGCTATATTGCAATACATCTTTCTCTCTGTCTATTCTAGCCGCCAAAGTCATCACCTAGAAGTTACGTCATGAACGTCACCTTCCAGGTTATACAAAGAAGGGGCAGAGTGGACACTTGTCCACATTCCTCTCTCCCCTCCATCCACCAGCACCCACCATGGCTCTCTCTGGGCTTGCAAATGGGCAAGCAAGGCCCGCATACATGGCGGGAACGCACCCGCGGAGGGGGCACTGGAACCGGGGGCTGTGGAGCCGCCTGACTGCTTCCACCTGACAGGCTGGAGTCTTCCTGTCAGTTTTATACACAATCCCAGTGGCTGGCTTGTGTATAAAACCCCTCGCTGTCAGGTCTGTACTGCGTACAGACCTGGCAGCCAAAAGGTTAATAAATGTACCTTGGTTAGTGGTTAAGCAACAATCTTTCATGTTTGTAGATACCTTAAAGTTATCCTTTACTCCATTTTAACTATTTTAAAGTCATGCCTTAAAGTTCAGCAAGCACCACTTGATGCCTGCTATTACGTTGATTAAAGGAGAAGTATGGCCAAAGCTACACTATATTGCCAAAAGCAACACTTCTGGGAAGGCTGTCCACAAGGTTTAGGAGGGTGTCTATGGGAAGGTTTGACCATTCTTCCAGAAGAGCATTTGTGAGGTCAGGAACTGATGTTGGATGAGAAGGCCTGGTTCACAGTCTCTGCTCTAAGTCATCCCAAAGGTGTTTTATTGGGTTGAGGTCAGAACTCTGTGCAGGCCAGTCAAGTTATATATACTTTGTTTAGCATTTCTGGGCAGGGGGCGTACGTGGGCTGCGAGCCGGCATTCGCGGCCGTCAATCACCAGGTCCCAGCCAGTGATTACCTGCAGGCGCCCTGTGATTACAGAGCATCTCCGATGGGGAGGAGGACTGTTTTGTTTACTAACAGTTCAGCTCCCTGTCAGCTCGGGCACACTGCTCTGGATGGCTGTGCACAGTTTGGAGGTAGCTATTGACTCTGCATACAGTTGGCGACTTCTGCACACTGTGTGCTTCAGCATGCGCTGACCCCTCTCTGTCATTTTACATGGCTAAGTTGCTGTTGTTCTCAGTTGCTTCTACTTTGTTATAATACCACTAACAGTTGGCCGTGGAATATTTAGTAGCAAGGAAATTTCACGGATGGACTTATTGCACAGGTGGCAACCTATCACAGTACCACACTTGAATTCACTGAGCTCCTGAGAGCGACCCATTCTTTCACAGATGTTTGTAGAAGCAGTCTGCATGCCTAGGTGCTTGATTTTATACATCTGTGGACATGGACGTGATTGGAACACCTAAATCCAATGATTTGAAGGGGTGTCCCAATACGTTTGGCAATATAATGTATTTTGGCTGTAATTCTCTTTGGGATCACAGGAGTGCAGTATGCTCTGCATTACTGTGACCAGTTTTCAGCCAACAGTGGACTAAAGCCTGCTGTTGGCAGATATATACCCATATGCTTGGGATCCACCCAGATGCCTGGACTGACAGCTAGCTTAGCTGCTCCTGCCCCCTCAACAGCCCAGTGCTCCAGTGATTACTGGAGGGGCAGAGTAGAGAGCTGGTGACTGACAGTCACCAGTTCTCTGCAGCCTGAAGACCGAGAGCTGAGTGATCAGTTGTGCTATAGAGCCAGTGGGGGACAGATGCAGCATCAGTTTGATGCTATATCCACCTAGGTGAGGAGGAATGTTTATTTTTTTTCAAACCCAAACTTCTCTTTCACTTAAAAAAATCTTCTTCCATGTCCCTCTCTGAAGTTGTTTCACATTCCTACTGGGGCCTGACTCGATGGCTATACATAGGATGGTAAATGTGGGGAGTGGGGTCAAGTTTTGCTTTAGAGTTGAAGTTGGATTTCCTTTAACTGCACAAGCCACTTCCAGACAGGGTTTTTAGAGGTTATGAAGCTTCTTGATATTGCTTCAGGAATATAAAGTCTCTTATTTCCCCATCAGTGTGTGCAAGCCCTGCGGCCTGCTCTGCTGTGAATGGGTAATGTTATATTTAATAGGTTTCTCTGAGAGAACAAAATAATTGATGTTATTCATTACTACAGCACCACAGAGTGCTGATCCCACTAATCAGAGATTGAAAATACCGTTGCAGTCTGTATTTTAATTCTGGAGAAAAATTGTTCTGCAGGGGTAATTCTGTATAAAGGGAAATGTGATGTATCTTCTACCATATCGCTGTTGGTAGGTCAGCAACGCATACAAATCTAGTGGCAGTGAAATGTTTAAAACTAAAAGGCAGACAAAAGTAATGTCAAATCATAGCTGGTGGGAATCACAGGGCAGGTAGCCAAGGTCATTAGGAGAAAGAGACAATCAAGACATATGCCAGAAGTGTATCTAAGCTTCACAGAGCCTAGGGTGATTGACATCATCATGGAGGGAGATCAGGCTGTGCCCTGAGCCACCACCTTATCAGTTAATGGTAATCAACACGCTTAGAAATGGAGTTTGAATGGTACAGATTACTTACAGTAAATGCAAAGAGTGGACTATGAACCTCATACAGCCTTGATGGCCTGGGAGCCATGATGCAGATATGGTAATCCAATTACAGCAGTTTGTCTCAGTCTTACCAAGACACAAGGCCAGTATCATACACAAGTAATAGATCCTGATTACTGTTTTTAGAAGGGATTTACTGATGGAACTGTCTTGGCAAATAATAACAAAAAATGGGCACCTGGTATGTTTGTTACATTATATTTCTCTACAGCCTAATTTATTTATACAGTATACTGTAATTACAGACAATTTTGGTAATATTTATTGTTTAAAAGTAAAATGGGATAACCTGGTAAAATAACGCTGTCATACAACACATATCCAACAAATGCTAGTACAAGATGCCTGTTCACACCTTCTTTTAAAGAAAACCTTCTCTGGTAACACCACAGGAAGACCTCAACTTGAGCTCAAAGTTGGAGTTCTGTTGTGCCCCCTGTAGCTTCCCTCAGTGCAAAGTTGGCAGCTCCCTATTTGCTATCTGTGTGAGCTGTAGTATGCAGGGTTCAAACTTAGGGTCTAGTATGAAACATGCACTAGAATTCATAAAGGGTGTGACAAAAACTCTGAA